GCACGTTTCTAGGAACATTCTGTTCACAATAGCAGCTTTCCCCACAGCTCTCAATCTTTCTAAGCCCTTATCAGAATCACCCTTAATGTTCATAATTCTACCAATAGTGTCTTCAAGTCTAGGCTCTTAATACCAAATACATCAAAATTCTTTCAGCTTCTATCATTATTCAATTCCAAAACCACTTCCACATTTTAGGTATTTGATAGAGCAGCACTCCAGCTACTTGGTACCAAACCTTGCCTTAGATTCATGGTGCTGCTGTACTACAAACACCACAAGTCTTTCACCATCTGTGCTTCCTTCTGTGTCTAATATGCTCTTTGCATAACTCAGAAGTGATTAGGTTCGGGACACATTCTACACTGATATGACCTCATTAACATAACAGAGAGAACCCTGTTCCCAAATAGGATTACATCCACAGGTACAGAGGTTATGATTTTAACATATATTTTTTGGGGACACAATTCAATCTATAACAGGGATACTAACACATATATGTTTATCCTCAAAACTGTTGTGAGGATCCAAAAAAAAAAAAAAAACCACACTGCCGTTGAGTCGGATTCGACTCACAGTAACCCCTCCTTGGGTTTCCGAGGCAGTAACTCTACAGAAGTAGATTGCCCAACCTTCCTTCCGAGGAGCGGCTGGTGGGTTTGAACCACCAGCCTTCTGTTTAGCAGTCAAATACCTTAGGAACTACGCTACCAGAGCTCCTGTTGTGAGGATAAAAATCCACAGAAACAAAAATCAACCACTTTTAAACAGTGCTACTAGACGGCACATAACAACAAACAACAACAACAACAAAATTGCAAACCAAAAAAACCAAATCCACTGCCATTGAGTAGATTCGGACTCGTAGCAATCCTATATAGGAAAGAGTAGAACTGTCTTATAGGGTTTCCAAGGCTGTAAAGCTTTATGGAAGCAGACTGCCACATCTTTCTCTTGCTGAGTGGCCCGTGGGTTTGGCTGGTGGGTTCTAACCACTGACCTTTTGCTTTAACCACTGCGCCATCAGAGCTCTTAAAAGCACTGCAAGTTATCATTATTTCAATTATTCAGTATTTCAACTTTCTGCCCATCTCAAATGTTTTCTGTATCCATTTATATCCATGAGGACTTGTGTTAGGAAGGATATAGAACTGAGGTAGATGGAAGGTCTACTGCCTCAATAGCTTTTCTCTCTCGTCACTATGAGCCACTTCTACAAGGAGATTTTACAAGTGCATAAGAAGTTGGACAAATGGTTCTGGCATCAAAACCATTATTTCCCAAGGTGAAGACTGGGTGTGTCAACTTTCCTGGGGAACCCAGGGCCAGAGAGGTAATGTTATGGGCCATCAAGGCATCCCTATCTCTTTGCTTCTCCACCTTTTGCTTTGAAGTTATGTTGGGAACTAACAACGACAAGAGGGAAAAGGATTATCTCCAACTTCCAAATTTCCTCCTTATGGATTGTGATGAGCTTCTCTGGGCTTAATATATACACAATTTTACTAGCTGGAAATTAGTAAAGGTCATGATGAGCTGAGTAAGTGATTCCTATATAAACTGCTCTGTATATGAAAACATTTGCATGACTACTTCAGATAATTGTGAAGACCATTAGCAATATGGAAACCCTTTTGATATTAAGTTAAAAACCAGAGTACCAAATTCAAGAAATGAAATGATACTACTATGTAAAAATATTTTCATATGGATAAAAATTGGAACAAAAAACCATGAAAACACCTACTGGAATAGGGTGGTAAGATTATAGGAATTAATTTTATTTGAAAGGTTTAAAAGGAAATTTTAACATTACATGGAGCTCTGGTGGCATAGTGCCTAAGGCATTTGATTACTAACCAGAAGGCTGGCAGGTCAAACCCACCAACCACTCCTCAGAAGGAAGACTGGGCAATCTACTTCTGTAGAGATACTGCCTCGGAAACCCAAGGAGGGGTCGCTATGAGTTGGGACTGACTCAACGGCAGTGAGTTTGTTTGATCTGAATAGTTGATAATGTTAAGAAATTATTAATATTTCAGGTGTGATAATGGAATTGTAGTTATGTTTTTAAAAGGAGTTTTTTTTTAGTGATGCATATGCAGATATTTATGGATTAAGTGATATATCTGAATCTGTTTCAAATAAATGTGGGGTGTGTTATGCAGTCAGTAGTAGGACTAGCTATGAGTTGCTAATTGTTAAAGCTAGGTAATAGCTACATGAGGGTTTGTTATATTATTCTCTACTTTTGTATATGTTTGAAATTTTCCATAAAGACAAATCTGAAAAAAACCCTAAAATATATATAATAAATAACATTAAGATAAAAAAAATTAAAATTGCAGTTGGAAACTTAATTTGAATAAGTTAAGTTGACACACCTAACTTGTTGATTTGGGATTGTCATGGATATCCAGGTTAATATCTCCTTTGTGTGTGAATGTGTCTGAGACAATAATTGGAATGCTGTTGTTGTTATGTGCCGTCAAGTTGGACCCAACTCATAGTGACCCCTCCTTGGATTTCCAAGGTGGTATCATTATGGAAGTAGATTGCCCAATCATCCTTCTGAATAAATGGAGTATTATGCCAAAATTATTATAATTATTAATTAATGTTTACAATTACTTATGCTAAAGAGACTGCCATCAAACAAAATTAAGACAATTTTTAAAGTTCTAGAAAATGAGATAGCTAAAGAAGAACCAAAAAAACCAAACCCACTGCCATCAAGTAAATTCTGACCTGTTGTGACCCCCACTGGGTTTCTGAGGCAATAAATCTTTAGGGAAGTAGATTGCCCGTATTCCTTCCATGGAGCGGTTAGTAGGTTTGAACCACCAACCTTCTGGTTAGCAGTCAAATGCCTTAGGCACTGTGCCATAAGAGCTCCTTAGTTAAAGAGAAGGCCATTGATAATTAAGATGGGGGGAAAAAATCAATAATAATAACTATATTTACACAGCATTATATAGCTTTGAAAGGATTTTGGTACATTTTACTTCTTTTGATCCTTTTCTATAAGGTAGACAACGGTGGCATCATTCTATTTTCTAAGGAATTCGAAAATATAGTCTTAAAATGGTAAATGACCTGTGTAAGAACTTAGGTAGAAGCTAGAGTATCTGATTTTAAGCTGTATTATTAAAAAAAAAAAAAATTTTAGTTAGATTTTTATTATAAAGTTATACATTTACATGGTAAAGAAAAACTGAAACAGAACAGAGTGAAGTGAAAAATAATTCTGAAAACACGCACACACACACACACACACACACACCCCAAACCAAAAACTCTCCTTCCTCCCCACTGTGAAGGATCTTGATTGTGCTAAGAGAAAACTTCTAGGCAAGACAAACCTTTCTCTTTCTCTGTGTAATTATCTATTCATACCCTCTTAATATAGACAATGTGTACTAGACACACTAATTTGCATCTAGCTTTCTTTACCTAATCTTTTCACATGTCAATATACATAGATCTACTTCACTCTTTTTAATGGTTGCATAGTAGTCCATTGTATTGTTGTTGTTGTTGTTATGTGCCGTCGAGTCGGACCCGACTCATAGCGACCCCTCCTTGGGTTTCTGAGGCAGTATCACTACAGAAGTAGATTGCCCAACCCTCCTTCCAAAGTCCATTGTATAGATGTACCATAATTAATTTGACCAATGTCCTGTTGATGGTAGGAGCTCTGGTAGCATAGTGCCTAAGGCACTTAACTGCTAACCAAAAGGCTGGTGGTTCAAACCCACCAGCCACTCCTCTGAAAGGTTGGTGGTTCAAACCTACTCCCTACTCTACGGGAGAAAGATGAGTCAGTCTGCTTCCATAAAGATTTACAGCCTTGGAAACTCTATGGGGCAGTTGTAGTTTGTCCCATAGGGTTGCTGTGAGTTGGAATTGACTTGATGGCAGTGGGTTTGGTTTTTTGGTGTTGTGCACTTGCTTTAGTATATAGTATATAATCATCATGGGTCCTTAGAGTATATAGTATATAATCATCATGGGTCTTTAGAGTTTCTGGAAGTAGAACTTCCAGATCAAAGGGCATGTACAATTAAACATTTTGTTAGATAATGCCAAAAATTCCCTTCAAAGAGGTGGTACCATTTTTACAATCATTCAGTGTGAAGTTCAGTACATTTTCTACCACAGCACTCAGGAGATAACTCTGAGGTGAGGGTCTTCCAGGTTGGTAATTAATCTATACCTGAAAGAACTTCTAGTGCACCTGGCTCATTTTTTCCACCCTCTGTTTACATTTGACTCCCCTAACATATTCTTGCCCTCTCACTTGTTGGCTTCTCATGGAGATCTGTGTCTCTGGTAAGTTTTCAGAGAATGCATTTCATCTCAGGGAGACTCCTCTAATTATATATGAGTTTTCTTTTTTTGTCTAGGAAATAGAAGTCCAAGTTCTTCAGCCTGAAAGAGCCATTTAGGGAGCAACAATGGAAGTAGTAGAGCTGATAATTATTGTGCTAAACAAGACAATAGCTCTTCAGTCATTTAGCCTCCCAACGTAAAACACAGAGGGTACAAGTCCAGTATGTTAGGAAGAGGAGTTTTTAAGAGACAAAGACTATGACTACCTAAATAACAGCACCGTCATAGCCACATTAAAGCACCATAGAGACACGTATGCAGGGGGTGCGTATTTTCCCTGATGTTGTGGGGAAAAAATACAAATTTAAAAGGAAAGCAGTGGAAATTTTTCCTTAAAATAAACCAGGGAATTGATGACAAAAATCTTGTTGGGTAAGTCCAGTGCCAAGTGGGATGCTTTCTTTAAATAGATGCCAAAAGGGGCAGGGTTGACTTACAAAAGGACATACTGCCTTACAAAAGAATTTTTGGCAAATCCCTTGTCATCTCAAGCAAATCTGGAAAAGTAAGGTGGGATTAGTCGGAATGACAGAAGAGATTGGTTAGTATTACACAGGGAACACAGCACCGCAGCTTTAAAGTGAGAATAAATGATTTCCTCTGACCCTTTTCATTGAAAGGTGTGTGCCAGGCGAGGAGATAGTTATCTGGCTTCAACTGCAAGCAGCCTTCAATAGTAGCTGGGTCTGGCCGATGCCCTGGAAGCTTCTCAACTATTTCCACGTAGTGCTTCACCATCTCCCGGTACAGGTCATCTAGGCACCAGTAGTCTGAGTGGAGAAAGGGAATGGACAAAAGTCAGTGCAAGCAGTAGGAGACAAGGTCATCTTGATTCCCTCCTTGGATCAGGGATTCAAGGCATTGAGTGTAATTGTTGCTTAATAAAAGCCATATTGCAACAATGACAATAGAAATAATTATGCTTCTAAATTAAAAGTCAAACCATTTTTTTTCCAATTAAGGGAGGAAAGCTTTTGGTGATTCATCTTACACAGCCTTATCTACCTAGAGAAAGTTTAAATGTAGACAAATAATTCACTCTAGATTTCAGACATTATACTTTGTTATGATGTTTGTTATTCTAGTTACAAATGAGAATCTAGAAAAAATTCCATGATCTTCATTTTCTACTAATGGTTCATTCTTTGCAACATGTGAGGAGGAAACAGAGCTGAAATCTGCCTATTGTTTGGGCTTAAAAAACAGACATTATTGCTAAGATAAAAGTGTGATTCTCTCCTATTTCCCAATTCCTCTTCTTATACTACTAGTGAAGTAGTCATTTTTGGGAAACCGAAAGTGTACAGCATTGCTGAATATTTTCCCAAAGTACATTCCCAGCAATATGGAAGATGTTATGGAAAGAATTATGGTCTTAAACTCTAGAAGATTATGGGGCATGGAGGACAAAAGGAACAAACATACATTAAACACCTGCTGCATGCCAGGCACCAGACAATGCATCTCATACTATCTCATAGAAACCTATTGCCATCGAGTTGATGGCAACTCATGGCAACCCCACCTATTTCAGAATAGAACTGCACATAGGGTTTTCAATGGCTGTTATCTTTATGGCACTAGATTGCCATGTTCTTCCTACAGAGCACTGCTGGGTAGACCAGAGCTGTCAACCTTTTGGTTAGTGGCCCAGTGCAAATCTTTTGTGCCACTCAGGGACCTTACTATCTCAGAGAGGAGAGAGAGAGAATAACCTCATACTGTTTTGGGGAGGATTATGGGATAAGGCTCAAAGAGGTTATGTGACTTGCCCAAGACGAGAGGTGATGAAGGGATTTCTATTTCAAAACCTGAGCATTTTTGCCATTAAGTTATTCTCTGGAGTGAAGTGGTCGTTAGTGTCCACATATCCTCTAACATTACAGTCTAAAGTGCCTGGTAATGACAAGAGCACCGAATCATGACCAAATGGAAGGAGCTACCAGACCAAGTGAAGTCAGGTAGGGTACAAGGTGTGCCTCCCAAAGCCAGTTTTTACAGTCCCCAACAATTTCATATTCTGTACTAAAAAATCATTTAAAACTTTTGAGCTGAGATCAGCAGAAGGCTATTCCACTCCTCCTCTCTGACTGGTGATGCTTTCGTCTATCTTTGGGGAGGGTGTATATGTCGAAGGGTGTATATGTAACGGGGGAAAGGACGGAGAAGACCAAGACAGATCTCCACTCACCTCTGGGTACTAAGTAGGCACTGGAATGCTATTCACATGAAAAACTAAAGGCCTTTTTATTGGTGTGAGCAAGGTCTTTATTAGGCCACATCAGGGCTCAGGTATTCTAACACAGAGGGATTAAGAGAGATTAGAAATCATGTGACAAAATTTCTCTCATCTCCAAGAGAGCCTCAGCTCTGTCAGCTGTTACAGCAGGTGAAGTAGGGGTACTCTCGTGTCCTTGGCTTTAACACCAGCTAGAATTCTAAATCTCGGAAGAAAAACTTAGTGATAAGAACCAGGTTTTAAAAGTCCTTATCTCTCATTCACAGAGAAAAGAGACGTCTTAAATGGAGAAAGCCCTTGGAAGACTCAGTGCCCACTGGTCTGCATACAGTATCATTATATATTGGATGTACTTTGCCCTGTTTCTATTCTGAGTTGGGGAAGAAAGGGAGGATATGGCAAGACTTTGGTTTCGGAGGAACACATTTTGAAAGTCACATGGGAAGGGATGTTACATTGGTAACAGTGCAAGAATAAAATTAACCTTTGCACATAAAACCTCTTGTTGGGATGCGTGAACTATTTGGATTTGTTGGGCTGCTTGTAAACTGATAATGTGTTTGGCTCTACGTTACCAGCACTATCAGTTTACAAGCAGTCTTTCTTAACTCAATGCTTGGTTAAGAAGCTTGGTCTTCCATTAATTATCAGGTCTTCCCAGAGTCCTCTAAAACAGTTCATTTTATTCTTGAACCAGATACTATGAACATGTCTTTATTTAAATGTATTTAGGCTTTTTAAAGGAACAAAACCCCCACAACTTCCAGTAAGATGGAGGAATATGCAGACAAGCGAGACAGACCATCTTCAACAAAGAAAAGAAAAACCAACAGACAGGGATACTGAAGATAATCCTGGAGTCCTGAGCTTTGAAAGGAACTATATGGAAGTGGATTAGGCACCAACTAGTGGAAAAACCTGAACGAAAACAATGAGTACAGAGATGGTCGGAGCTGCAGACTGTCAGCTACTCTGACGGGACTGACAGCCTGAATAGTTCCAAGAAGTGTTGGGACCCAAGAGTTGACCTAAACATCAGCCCTGGTCACCAAGGGCTGCAGGCATGACTGCGCTGGTGGCCTATGACTAGGAAGGGAAACAGCAAGGAGGGAGACAACCTGAGCTGTTGACTTTCTGCTGTCTGGTGGGTGCAGCCATTTTGGTTGTTTACATGTGGCAGCCATTTTGAATATTTAAAATGACCGAGGGCGCAGCCATTTAGAATCTTTCCAAGTGGCAACCATTTTGGATTTTAAAGTGATAGCATTCTCATTCAGATTCCAGGGACCTAAGAAAAGGCTCTGTTTGCCAAGGTCAGCAGGGACATATGAGTGCCTGACAATACAAGACAAGTGGTGAGTGTATAAGTGCTGTCAACTAGCGAATAGAGAAGCACAGTACCCTGCTTCTATAGATAACATACAAAGAAAACAAAAATACTGGGCAAGTTACTCCAATATACAATCACCAATTAAATATAAACACAAAAACGTCACAATGCCTCAGAGACAACAGAGCATCACAGTCCACACAAAGAAGCAAGATAAAGCAAGAGAAATAAGGGGCCAGGAACACATCCCTGAGGAAGATGCAGCATTGGAACTCCCTGATAAGCAATTCAAAAGAATTATATTTAGGTATCTTCAATGAATTGAGAGACAGATCAAGGAAAACACAGAGAAAACCCTAGAACAATTTCTAAAGACAATACAAGAATAAAATGACAAAATAAATAAAAAACAGAAATGATACAAAATCTACACATAGAAATCCAGAAGATTAATACTAAATTTTCAGAAATAGATAAGATATCAAATGGGCAAAGGAGCAGAATCCAATCAATGGAAGACAGAATTAGGGAGATTGAAGGCAAATACCTGAACACTTCTTTGGAAAGGGTAAATCAGAAAAAAGATCAAAACAAAATGAAGAAAGCCTAAGGTTCATGTGGGATACCACCAAAAGGAATAACCTATGTGTAATCAGAATTCCATACAGGAAGAGACAAATAAAAACCACAGAGAAAATTGTTGAAGATGTGTTGCAAGATAATTTTCCTGGTATGATGAAAGATGAGAATATACCCATTCAGGATGTCCAATGAACCCCAAACAGGATAAACCCCAAAAGAAAATCACCCAGACATATCATCATCAAACTTACCAAAACCAAAGACAAAGAAAGAATCATGAGAGCAGCACAGGAAAAACGAAACCAGTAAGACTAAGCTTGGATTTCTCAGCAGAAACCATGCAGGTGAGAAGACAATGAGATAGTATATATAAAACCCTGAAAGAGAAAAATTTCCAACCAAGAATTACATACCCAGCAAAATTGTCCCTCAATATGATGGTGAAATTAGGACATTTCCAGATAAGCAGAAATTAAGGGACCAGACCAACCTTACAAGACATGCTAAAGGGAGCCCTTTGGACAGAGAAGCAACAACAGCAAACAACAACTGACAATTAACACACATGATGATATAACCCAGAAACCAACCGAGCTATGGAAGTATCCAAAATAAACAAGCCTACAAGATTGTAAACAGGGAACTTGAGACATCAATTGACAAATGAGGACAACTACAAACCAAAAAGAGGGAAAAGATTGTGTTACTATAGGACTTTTAGATGGTAGGGAAGTCAAGACAACTACAAGATAGAATGGACTGTTCTCAACTTGGGCAGAAAAATATAAATCACATGGTAAGCTCAAAAAGAAATGATAAACCTTCACATAAAAAAAGAGGACCAGCATAAATATTCAGCAAATACTAAAACAAGAGCAATGAAGGAAGTGATAACACAATTCATAAATGAAATGAGCTCAGCATAGAAAATTATACGGAACAAAGAAATCGACACCATGAAAAAGCACATAACAAAAATGACAGCAACAAATTCATCTGTATCTGGCAAGGGACTTATCTCTTATCTCTAAGATTTAAAGCAGAAGAGTGGATGAGCAAACTATGGTACATACACATAATGGAATGCTATGCAGCACTAAAGAATAATGTAGAGACTGCAAAACACTACATGATATGGATGAACTTGGAGAACATTACACTGAGTGAAATAAGTCAATCACAGAAGGACAAATATAGTATTAGTTAGTTGTTGTGGAGGGTCCAGGAAAGGTCTATATATGGAGAGAAACTTTGTTGGTTGCCAGGTGATGGGGAATGGTGGGAGGGAACACTGCAAAAAAAAAAAAAAAAAAAGCATTCACCCATGTCACTTTTTTTAAAAAAGGAACAAAAACCCCATAAAAACAAAAGGGCCACAAAAAGCCTTGTCTTTTCAGGTTGGTGTTTAAACTAGAAAAAGATTTTTCAAAGCTGCAGACTAGGAAACTGTCATCTGAATTTCTCTAATTTGCGACACAGGTACTCATTTGACTGCTAACCAGAAGGCTGGGGGTTCGAACCTACCAGCCACTCCTTGGAAGGAAGGTTGGGCAATCTACTTCTGTAATGATACTGCCTCAGAAACCCAAGGAAGGGTCGCTATGAGTCGGATTTGACTCCATGGCAGTGGTTGCGTTTGCTTGCTTGATTTATCTCACTTTATCCTCATATAACCCTATACGGAAGGTATTAACCAATAACAAGACAAACCCATTACTGCCTAGTTGTTCTCAGTTCATGGCAACCACGTCTTAGAGAGTAGAACTGCTCCATAGGGTTTTCTTAGTTGTAGTCTCTACTGAAGGACACCACCAGCTCTTTCTTCTGGTGTGCTGCTGGGTGGATTTGAACCACTAACTTTTAGGTTAACTGCTGAGCACCAATTGTTTGTACCACCCAGTGATCTATTGAGGGTGGTATTACTATCCCCAGAGTCAGGCTCAGCAAGGTTAAGCAACTTCACTAATTAGCTAGAGTAAGTGGTAAAACAGGAGTAGAATTAAGAATGTCAGGCTCCAAAGCCTGGGCAGTATAAATTCTTTGAGGATAAGTCTTCACCTTCTTTTATATCTTTGACTGGCATAAGCTTTGGCTTACAAGGAGGTACTTAATAAATGCTTACTGTCAGTGTGAATTCTTTGTTCATAACCAACAATGCAACGCAATGCACTGCCGTCGAGTCAGATCTGACTCATAGCAACCCCTCCTTGGGTTTCCGAGGTGGTATCTCTACAGAAGTAGATTGCCCAACCTTCCTTCCGAGGAGTGGCTGGTGGGTTTGAACCGCCAGCCTTCTGGTTAGCAGTCAAATGCCTTAGGCACTACACCACTAGTGGTCCTATATATATACTGAATTACTTTTCCGTCTTGAAGCATATTGAATACTATTATTTCCTCTCTCTGTCTGTGCCCTTTTGAAAGCCACACCTAAGACTAGGACATTGCATATGTTATATCTGATCTTTTGCATCACAATCAGTCTAGTAGGAGAAACAGCTATTCAGACCACATAGCTACAAGGTTGGTAGAGTTAACAGATTTATAAGTGACACGTTTTAATTAAATATTCCAAGCTGTAGTTTCACTTTGTGAGAATCAGCTTATCTTTGGACAACATGTGGAATAGTCCCATTAAAAATTGCAATATTTGAAATACTTGCATATTTCAGTAACCTAAGGTAGTAAGCTACAGTGTTTAAGAATATAGACTTTGGAACTAGATTGCTTGAGTTCCAATCCATGCTCTGTCACCTACATGGCGGAGCAAGTTACTTAACCTCTCTGCGTGTCGTTTAAAGAAACTAAAGAAAATGATTATAATTTATATAAAATTATAATAAGAAAGTCAGCCTTCATAGCTGATGTGAGGATTAAATGATAATATACATAAAGTAGTCAGAACACTGTCAGGCACACAGTGAGTGTGATGTGAAACTCAGCTATTTCCAGTATTGACATGGCTCAAAGATCTCCTATAGGCTATAATTTGCTAAAGAAAAAAAAAAAGGGCTGTTTGCAAATTAAACTTTTAATATAATTTCAACTTAAATTTTGAATAAAATATGCTCTGCTTTAATTTTTATCAGAGTGATATATTCAAGGGGATAATATTCAATATTTACTCATGACACACAAACTATAAAGTGGTATATAGTATACAGTAAACAATTGCTAATTCTTCTTTCTTCATCTTATGGTTGTCATCATTTAGAAGGAAATTTACTTTCCTCCTTGAAAACAATGCCCCAAAATGTTCATAATATTTTTGAATAAGTTTTAATCTGGGGATAGATGTACTATTGTGGTATATGTACTAATATATATGTATATGATTTATAAGGGGGCAATGGTGGTTCAGAGGTAGAATTCCTGCCTTCCATGCAGGGCAACTGGGTTTGATTCCTTGCCAATGTACCTCACACATAGCCACCACCCATCTCATCTGTCAGCAGAAACTTGTGTGTTGCTATGATGCTGAACAGGTTTCAGCAAAGTTTTAAGACCAGGAGAGACTAGGAAGAAAGGTCTGGTGATCGACTTCTGATAATCCACCAATGAAATCTCTATGGATCACAATGGTCCAATCCACAACTCATGAAGATGGCATGGGGCCTAGCAGTTTTCTTCCATTGTACATGGGATTGCCATGAATCAGGGGTCAATGCAAGAGCACATAACAACATCATATATACGTACATTTACTGCAAAGGAGATATAAATTAATCTAATCTCTGATAAAATCTTACCATCATGAAAATGCTCACTTGTTTCCGATACTATACTAACCATAACCACATAAAAGCCAGATAATTTTAATTGTCACATTCTCTCATTTACAAAAATCTTACTAAAGTGTTAACAAAAAGGAGGAGAAACATGAAGGAGGATATATGGATGTGTATATATGTGTACACACAGCATCAAAACATAAATGGAGTAAGTTTTAAGAGTAAGTACCAAATCTGTACAGCTAAAACCAACTATGTTTTTGTTTTAAAAGCCACCTCAGTGACATCGCAGGAATACAGCAGATGCTTTGGGGTGGCCCATTAAATGTTGTAGGCTGCCAATTTGGTACTGTTGAGCTTAAAGACACTCAAGAATCTGTCAGAAAATACCAGCTAGAAATAGGAAATATTTTGATTTTGTGATCGTGTAGACCCAGAAAGATGCTCCACTAGTTTCAACAAGCTGTGACATCTTAACTGTGGTGCTTTAGCTCTCTCCCTAGTGATTTAGGAACTGGCCACAAGTATATGGCATTCCTATACAATGACCGCAAGAACTAAATTTAGCATGTTCACAGCAGAGAAATGGAATGGTGACGTGAATGCATAAGTAAGATTTCATTGACTTATTGCCCTCAGATTTTAATTTTACAAAGATATACTAGTAACACTTGCAGGTTTTTAAAGAGCGAATAAATGACTTGTGGGAAAACTGTTACCTAATTATACACCTACTGTTCTTCTGAATATTCATGTCCCAACCTGTTGACCCTAAAACCAACCTGCTGCTTAAAGAATATTTCAAGAAACTTTGATTCTCCCCCGAATCCAATCAATTTAAAAACATTTTCTTAGAATATGTTTAAGTATAAGCAACTATCCAAGCTCAATGATGTTTTGGTAGACGGTATTTTAATCCTAATTTACTAACATTTAGAAGTAATCTCCATACAATATTATCTTAATGGGTCTGAATTCCAACTGGCTTATTACTTTTTATTCTTTTGAAATAGATTCAGAATAAGGAGTCTGAATCTCTGAGGTGAAAACAGAGTCCTCCCTCTACTCCTACCAAAACACCACCAAAGCAAGAAGGCTTTGAACTATGAGAAAAAGAAGATATTCTTTCTAGTTGTGTGTAAGACAGCTTAGTTAACACTTTACAAATAAAAATGAAAAGTCACTGTTTAAAAATGAAGTCTTAACTATCTGCAGTGTAAAATAACACTGTCATCAAGAGATGCTACATGAGAAATACGATCTACACATACATAATTTGTTGTGGGACACTGGTGAATATTGAATCACCACTTTTAGCAGCGGCATCAGGTAACAACATCAGTTAAAAGACTGCATTGCTTTCAAAGCTCTCAATGCTTATTTCAAGAACTTTATTAGCCACACAGTTGTCTATTTCTTTTATGACAACACACACTGAAGACAAGAAATTAGACCAAGCCTTACCTGTGGTGAGCGCCTCAGCGGTAGTTATGTGCATGATGGTGTTGTCACTCACTGGCCATTTTTCGGGTGAAAGCACAAGCTGGTCTAGTCCTCCCATTTGTTTCAATTCCTCCTGGATCTTTGTACCTAAAGCACTGTTTTCCTTGCTGGCATTTCTGTAACCAAGAGCATCTCCCACACTTCCCAGTAGCATAGCAGCCTTAAATTTCTCCATCTTGGGAGGGCCACCGAGCCTGTGATGCTTTCCTCTGGCTATTACAGCTACTAAGCGTCCTCAGCTTTTGTTGCTTCTGTTTGTTTGCTGCCTTCAGTCAACCCTGCTGACTTTTATAGTGGTCATTGTATCACTGTCAGGAACTTCCTCTAAATGGCCAGGCACTCCTTTTCTGTCTCTGCAGGTGGCACCTCTTACATAAGGACCAATGAGAAAAACTTTCTGGATCCTAGCAGCTCACAGTGTTCCTTCTAAGTAACAGGGCTTGTGGAGCACCACAGTGTAAGATATCAATTTCCCTCACCATTCTGGGCAGACCCTAGCTTTTTAATAAGAAGACTGCTGTCTTTAATTAATCAACATCAGCAACATCAAACATTCTTTTAAAAAGCAGTAACTCCTAAGCAAAAAATATTTGTAGTGTACTGGAGATTTTAATGCATGATTTTTTTTTAAAAAAAAGCTTAATTTATGTACAATTTATATTCCATAAAACCAACTTGCCCTAAGTGTACATTCTGAAGAGTTTTTGTAAATGCATATTGCTGGGCAACAATCACCCCAAAAGTTCCTTTTGCCTAACTGCTCCCCAGGCCCACAGTTTTGCCTTTTCTATAAATTTCAAATAAATGGAATCATACTACAGTCTTTTATATCTGGCTTCTTTCACTTAGCATAATGTTGAAATCCATCAATTACATGCAATAGTTTTGTCTGAATTAAAAAAACAAAAACAAACTTGTTTTCTTTTGATTATACAATGTGTTTAATAGAAAACTCGGGAAATACAAAAAAGCCCAAGGGGGGAAGAACAACAAAACCCCTACATTTAGCTTCTGTGTGAAAGATTATGATGTTTTCTCTGATCTGATGTTCAAAAAAAGGCTAACTAGACTTTAGACTGGAAAGTGGTAGTGTGTTAGCAAAGTGGGAGCACTAGTGGCATAGTACCTAAGGCATTTGATTGCTAACCAAAAGGCTGGCAGTTAAAACCCACCAGCCACTCCTTGGAAGACAGGGCAATCTATTTCTGTAGAAATACTGCCATGGAAACCCAAAGAAGGGTCGCTATCAGTAGGGACCAACTCGATGGCAGTGTGTTTGGTTTTGGTTTGGTCAGCAAAGTAAAAAGCTTCACAGAATTTATGATTATGCTCTCAATAGGCATAATGTATTTAAAATATTCCTACCATTTGTGAAAAGAATTCTCAAAAATATGATAATGCTGGGGGGTAGGTAGAGAAGAGATAGAATGTGTAAAACCAGGGCTCTTGGTTAAAAAACAAACAAACAAACCCAAAACATTAGGACGTCTATCTCCCAAAGTGGGGTAGAGTTAAAGAGAATCCAAACTATTAACAATGAGGTGGTGCTTCCTTTTCTTATGTCCCAATGGAATCTACTCTCATATCAGACTCAGGAAAAGTAGTTAGGAGTTACACATTGACTTAAAAAATACATCTGATAAAAATAAAATTTAAGTATAGAGGTACTTGATGCATTTAAATAAACATATATTATACCAGCAGGAGCTCTGGTGGTGTAGTGCCTAAGGCATTTCATTGCTAACTAGAAGGCTGGTGGTTCAAACCCACCAGCCACTCCTCAAAAGGACTGCTGGGCAATCTACTTCTGAAGTGATACCGCCTCAGAAACCCAAGGGGGGGTCACTATGAGTGGGGGCCAACTCACGGCAATGAGTTAGCGAGTTACTATACCAGCAATTTGTTAAAAGTGAGTTTCTGAAATATTACTCTAGTTAGCATACTTTTAAGAGATTTTGAAAACAAAAACTCCTTCAAAACCATTATAGATGGCTCTTGGTTGCTATTTATATAGGGTCCCTATTCAAACAAGACAAAATACAGCAACAAAAACCAGAAATGAGGTATAACTATTTTATTTATGTAACTGTCTTAGGTAGAACAGCGTAGTTTGGGAGAAATATTTATTACTAAGGGGAGTAATACAGTCTATGGCTAATGTTTTTCACACCCTCAGCCTCATTTTGAAAGATTTATTATCTGTGCCTACTTTAAAGGGATAATACTCCAAAGGTTCTTTTTTTTTCGCCCCGATTCTTAGGCAATGGAAACCTTCAGAAAAGATAGTTAGGAACAACTACCATACTATTGACCTATGTCTGCAAACAATAAGAAGTAATATTAGTTCATTCAACAAATATTTATTGAGCCAGTTAGGAACTGTGGATAAACAAACAATAGAAAAGAACCTACCACTATCCCCATGGAGTCAGAAGTCTAGAATGTATATTACACTTAAACTTAAGTTAAAAAAAAAAAAATTACACATGTCACTAAGAGAGAAAGAGATGACAATGATTATTCCAAAAATTCTTGAGGCACTCTATGAAGGTACAGGGTATTATGTATTTCTTAAATCTATGATGTTTGGTTTATTTATGTATTTTCAATGTATTTATAATTTGTATTACAGTGTGTTTTGGCACAATCAACTCAAGGGAATTCTTTATAATGTGAATTTATGAGAACTATGATTTCTCACATGGAAACAACCATCTATAACAATACTTTATGATACTGAAAAAAAAACTAAATAATTTAAGCTGTTTTAGGACACAATTACTGGACAGAGTAGAATAGACACAACATTTGAAGTTTCTACAGGAGCTTATTTATTGGTTACTATAAATAAAAGTTTAGTTTGTCCCAAGACTAACGACGAATATACTGACATCTAGTGGCAAGTATCTGAGCAACCAAGAAAAGATTTTAAAAGGATATCACCACAATCAGCAGAGAAAATAATTTAATGTTTTTGAAGATTTTAGCATTTTAGTAGCATGCATAATTTAAATGTATATAATAGAAGGAAAAGAAACCCATCATTTTTGAAGAGCCATTGTCCAATTACTAATATTGTGATAACTATTGATAAACAACCCTACAGAACTTTTTTTTTTTTAAAGGTATTGCAGACCTTCATAATTATCTGAGTTCTATAAATTTCTCTAAACATAACACTTAAATGTCAAGAATCCATGAAGCCTGGAAGGATGCTTTTAAATTTTGGAAGTTTTTTTAAAGCTAGCTTTTATTAAATAAATCTCTTAAAATACATTTTTGAAGGTAGAGCTGGCCTACTCTTTGCTTTTATAGATATGGAAACAGAGGCCCAGAAAAGGTTAAGTGACTTGCCCCAGGTCATACAATTAGCGGCTGACTCAGTCCTAGATCTTGGTCTTCAAACTTCAAGACCATTTTCCATTCCTCTATCCCCCGCTGCCCTTTTTTGAAGATTTTTAGATAAAAGCATATATAGTTCATACACTTCTAAGTATACCTAAACAGATGTGCTTCACATTTTAAATAGATGTTTCCTAAAACAATGAATTATATTTTGGGGCATACAAATTTTAGTTATGCTTTCTATTTTACAGGAAGTCTGAAGTAAAGCTCTTCTCTTTCACTCTGTCTCATAAAATAATTGCCAATTTATCTGTTTCAGAAATGGCATTGTATATAGGGCAGCAAGGCACACCTATAATGTGTAGATCAATAAGGTAAGATCCTCTTTTTGAATATGAGGTAGGGTCAATAGAGTGATTTCTTAAGCTCTATGGAAGAGTTCTGCCAAACGAAGAGCAAGGTGACATCTTAGGCTTTTCATGCCTTTGGATGACACATCTTGTGCTGCACTGGAGGGTTACTTTGACAAGGGAGAGATCAGAAAAAATGTAACATGATGCAAAGACAGATTTCAGCTTCAAACAAGATGAAGGTTCCTGCCTTCCGCCACCCCAGTGATGTATATTTTCACTTCCTAATTGTACAATTTGTACAGAGGGTCGTTGGATGCTAGACATAGCTATTATAGATATTTGAAAGGAACCAACTCACTTGATTTTCAAATCTATAATTCATCACTCATAAAAGAAATGATTTTTCATGGAAAAAATGTCTATGTAAATGTAATAAAATATTTAAAAAAAAACATACTTTAAGAAACTTCTTAGGAAGTTCAAATAACATTATTAAAAGTAAAACAGGCCCACCGACTTGTAAACAGTTTAAAGTAAAACTTTCCTGAAATCACACACTGTGCAAACTGTAATGGTATATTAAAAACTATAAAATGATTTACAGATGAACATCTAGGAAAATTAAAACAAAAATAGATTTGGCAAATCTAGATATCTGATAATTAAAAAATATAAATCTTGAATTCCTGGCACCAGGTGTAAAAAATGTTCAAATCCATTACAAGATAACCTTTAGGGCACATTTTTAACACCTTTGACCTGTATAAAAATACAACATCCTACTTGAGAACACAAATACTGTTTAAGTGTAATTACAATATAATTCAGCAGGAGTTTTGGTAACTGCTGGTGTTCATCTTCAAACATGAATTAAATAGCATGCTCTGGAGTCCTGCTAAATGGGCTCTATGTTACTTTTTCTTAAATATAAAAACCATGCAGAAATCTCTTAAAGCAACAGCTACAATGACTCCTATCTTCAAATATTCCAAAGCAGCCATCTTCTGAGGAATTTATAGTGTCTATAAAACAGTCACCATTTTCTTTAAGCAGAATCGAAGGTTATTTTAGTTTCATGATTGGTCAAGGATGACTTCTGAAATCAGCAAGAAATGTACACAGCTACTGACCAAAATGTCTCCTTCATAGGACGCAATTCATTTATAATCTTAATCCAGCTTAAATTTTCTGCTTAGAAAGTGCTGTGCTTTCCACCTCTGACTACTGGCCGTGCATATTCAACAAAATCATCTATAAGAACAGGCCACGCTCCTAAAGGAAAACAAACAAAGTTTTAAACCAATATTTTTATATCAAACCACATTTTCCCCACAATCTAACATATTTCAAGAACCAAAATTATTTTAAGTTTATACAGCTCATGTTCACAGTACAAATTGGCTGAAGTCATTTCTTTTGTTCTAGCAAGATCAGGGTCAGCAAATATTGGTGTTAATGTGTGCTGACAATGTCTTTCTTATAATAATGACATACAGTACTATCTGATCACATACTTTCTCACAGTGGCCTGACAATCCTCAGCCCAGTGCTCTAAGCACTCAGATCAACAGACCACAAAGGAATGAAGAGAAATGAACCAGGCTGGACTGATGAACTAGTCCGTGGCCACTGAGTCAATTCTGACTCATAGCAACCTTTTAGGACAGAGTAGAATGGCCCTATAGGTTTCCAAGGCTGTAATCTTTATAGAAGTAGACTGCCACAACTTTCTACCACGGAGTGGCTACTGGGTTCAAATCGCTGACCTTTCAGTTGGCTTATGAGTGCTTAAACACTGTGCCACCATGGCTCCTTGGACTACGGAACTGTCCTTCATGTAGGTCATTTATATTGCCCCTAGGGGATGCTGTTTTCTTGTTCAGAATGCATGTCTCCTTTGTGCTTTCTGATTCATACTTACTCATAAAGGGCCAGTCCAAATCCACCCAATCCAAAGTGACTGCTCTAAGTTCCTGCAACACTGATAACACTATCCAGTTAGGAGAGTTATTTTCTCTGTAACATCCTCTCCAGTGTCTTCTGCTCACCTCCTCACCCATAGCAGAACTAATTACTCACTGCTTTGTTCTAGAAAGTATATTCTTCAGCTCAGCACTTAATCACAATGACATTACTTTTTAGAAAATAATTTTGCTATTGTGGAGAATAAAGACAGCAAAAAATATACCAATTCAAGTTTGTACAAATGTGCCCTGCCAAACTGCTGAATCCTTCTACTAGTTCCAGTAGTTTTCTTCTGAGTTTCTGGGATCTTCTATGTATAAGACTATATCATTAGCAAACAGAGAATAGTTTTACTTCTTCTTTACCTAATTGTATGCCTAATTTCCCTTCTTGCCTTAATGCTCTGGCTCAGAATTCCAATACAATGGTGAATATGAGTGGTGATAAACGGCATCCTTGTCTGGTTCCTGTTCACAAGGGGAATGTTTTCAGTTGCTCTCCATTGAGAATAACACTGGCCATTGGTTTTGTGTATATACTTCTTAATTATGTTGAGGATTTTCCCTTCTATTACAATTATGCTGAATGTTTTTTATAAAAATGGATGCTCGATTTTGTCAAATGCCTCTTCTGGATCAACTGATACCATGTGGTTCTTGTTTTATTTATGTGGTGGGTTATGTTGACTGTTTTTGCAAATCAAAAGCAATTTGATTTATAAAATTGTTGAGCCATACTTGAAATGAATCTCACTTGGTCAAGATTTTGATTTTTCCATGTATTTGATTTTTGGTCATGATATATATTATTATTTTTGATATACTGTTGGACTCTACTGGCTAGGATGTTTGCATTTATGTTCATGTGGGATATTTATCTAGAATTTTTTTTTTTAGTGGTGTCTTTCTCTGATTTGGGTATCAGAGTTACGCTTGCTTCACAGAATGACTTTGGAAGTACTCTATCCTTTTTCTTTGCTCTGGAATAGTATGAGTAGAATTGGTGTCAGCTCTTCTCTCAATGCTTGGTAGAATTCACCTAGTAAAGGCATTGGCATCAGGACTTTTTTTGGTTGAGTGTTATTTTCATTTTAATGACTTGTTTAATTTCTTCTTTTGTGATGAGTCTCTTCAAAATTTCTACCTCAGGTTGTGTTAGTTCAGGTTGGTAATATGTTTCTAGAAATTTGTCCATTTCTTCTAGATCTTCCAATTTGTTGGAGTACAGTTCTTCATAGTATTTTGTTAGTGTCCTTTTTATTTCAGTTAGTTTTGTTATGACATTGCCTTTTTCTTATTCATGTTATTTGCATCTTCTCCTTCTTCTCCTTTGTTAAATTTGCCAGTGGTTTGTTAAGTTTATTAATCCTTTCTAAGAATGAACTTCTAATCTTGTCAATTCTTTCTATTGTTTTTCTGTGTCATTTATTTCTGCTTGAATCTTTCTTTTACAACCCAGCAGTTTTTAAGCAGGGTGTTCTTCATTTTCCATGTATCTGATTTTTCCCCCTTGTTCTTCCTGTTGTTAATTTCTAATTATATAACATTTTGATATGAGAAGATGCTATGTAATATTTTGATGTTTTTAAATTTATTGAGGCATGTTTCATGGCCTTACATATAGTGTAGTATGGAGAATATTCATACTACTGGCAAAGAATATATATTGTGCTATTGTTGAGTTGAATGTTCTGTATACATCTATGAGGTCTAGTTGGTTGATTGGGTTGCTTAGATCTTCTGTATCTTTGTTGAGTTTCTTTCTATTTGTTCTGTACTTCATAAAAAGTAGTTTATTAAAGTCTCCTACTATTATTATGAAGTTGTTTATTTCCCTTTTCAGTTCTGTTAAATTTTGGTTTATGTACTTTGGGGCTCTTTCATTGGGTGTGTAGATATTCATTATGGTTATCTCCTCTTGGACTGATCCTTTAATCATTATATATAATGCTCTTCCTTGTCTCGTTTGCTGGGTTTTTGCCTTAAAGTCAATTTTAGCAGAAATTAATGTTGCCACTCCTGCTCTTTTTTGTTTGTCATTTGCTTGATATATACACTTCCATCCTTTGATATTTAGCTTATTTTTATTTTTCTGTCTAAGGTGTGTCTCTTATAGATAGTATACTGATGAATTATGTTTTCTTATCTCTTCTGGTACTTTGTCTTTTGACCAGTGTATTTAATCCATTTACACTGAGTGTAATAAATATGTATGGATTTACCTATGCCATTTTGTGTGTGTGGTGTTGATAGTTTCTTTGTTTCACATATTTTTCTGTGGTGAATTCATTTTGTTTATGGATTTCCTCATCATTTCCTTCACTGCTACTGTTTTAGTGTTTACTGCTTCTTTATGATTTTCTTTTTTATTTTGGTGAGAAGGTTTATTAATTTTGAGGTTACTGTGTAATTTCTTATATCTTCCCAAGTTTGAAACAGTCTATTCTATCTTCACATTGTCTTGATTTCCTCTCCATTTGAAGGTTCTGTAACTACATCATGTATTCTCTTTTTGCTTTGTATTTGTCATCGCTTACAAATTGATGTTTCTGGTTCCTTATTTTTAATCTTGTAGGTTAATTTTATTGATAAGTAATATTTGGATTGATTTTTGGGTGATCCTGTTGTGTGTCTTAAATTGCCAGTTACTGTTTGCCATTGTTGATTCTCTGTCTGAAGGACTCTCTTTATAATTTCTTTTAAGATTGGTCTGGCTTTGAAACATTTCCTTAATTTCTGTATATCTGTGAATGATTTTGCCATTGTACTGGAGGGACAATTTTGCTGAATATATAATGCTTGGTTGGCAATTTTTTTCTTTCAGTGTTTTATATATGTTATCCCATTACCTCTTGCCTGCCTGATGTATGCTGAGAAATCAGAGTTTACTCTTACTGGTTCTCCTTTGTGGGTAACTTTTCATTTTTCCTGAACTACTTTCAGATTTTTCCTTTGTTTTTGGTTTCGCAAAGTTTGATTTTGATGTCTTGGTGATTTTCTATCCTATTTGGGTTACTGAGCTTCCTGAATGCATATCTTCTCATCTTTTATGATATTGTTGTTGTTGTTGTTGTTGTTATGTGCCGTCGAGTCAGCCCTGACTCATGATATTAGGGAAGTTTTATTCCAACAAATCTTTAATTAAATTTTCTTGATGCTCTTTTTTGGTCTCTTTCTATTTTGAAATTCCAATCACACATAAGTTATTCCTCTTGATTAGGTTTCCCACATAATTCTTAGGCTTTCTTTCTTTCTTTTCTTCATTATTTTTTATTGTTCCTCTAACAGGTTAATACTAAGAGTGTCTTCAATTTGCCAGTTGTCTTTCATTGATTCAATTCTACTCCTTTGCCCTTCTAATGTGTTATCTATTTCTGAAATTTTCATATGAATCTTCTGGATTTTCATTTGCTGTTATTGTCATTTTCCATTTATTTTGTCAATGTGTTCTTGTATTGTTTTCCTGAATTGTTTTAGAGATTTGTCTGTATTTTCTTTAATTTTGTCTGTGGTTTCCTTGATCCTTTTCTTAAACTGCTGAAAGGACCTAAGTATAAATGTTCTGAATTCCTTATCAGGTAGTTCCAATTGTATTTCTTCTCCAGAAGATTTTCTGGCCCTGTAATTTTGTCACTTTTTCGAGCCATCTTGTTTTGTTTTTTTGTGTGATATGAAATTGTCTGTTGTCTCAGGATCATTGTGGTGTTGATTGTATAGTAGTTTGCTTTACTCTGGTTATCTGATTTAGTATCTCTGGGCAATGGGGTGGGTGTGCTACTCTGAATCGCTAGTTTGCCGGCACTAGGGTGCTCACCATCTGTCTCTGTGTGGATGTGTTAACAGGTGGGAATATGTGTGTGAGTCTCTGATGTCTGATTATGCAGAGCAGCTGAGGGCAGACTGGGCAGATGCTGCCACCATCTGTCATTGATCCAGTAGTACTGGAGTAGGTAGTGGTGCTCATCCAGTAGGTGGAGTTGCAAATGTTGTGGGTATGGCTAGGTAGGGTTGTTGGTTTCCAACTGCTGGGGAAAAATAAGGGGGAAAAGAGTAAGAAAAAAAGAAAAACACAAGAAGAGGGGAGAGGGAAGACCCAAGAAGAGAGAAAAAAGATAAAAGGAAAAGAAAAAACCACAAGTGATAGTTTGGCAAGTGCTAGCTGCCGAACATGGCTGTGGTGGGGACGCAGCGCCTGCTTCACAGGAGTGTACAATGCTGAACATGGAGGGTTAGAAGTGGGTGTTACTGAGTATAGAGATGGCAGGGGCAGGACATGAGCTCTGTGGTATCAAAAAAAAAAAAAAGGAG